TATTGTAAATTTTTTTTTTTTTTTTTTTTTTTTTTTGAGACAGGGTCTCACTAAATTGCTAAATTGCCTATTTGGGGCTTGAACTTGCCATCCTTCGATCTAAGCTTTGCAGGATTATAGGTGTGTGACACCATGTGCGACTTTTAAAAATCTATAATTTCCAGAATTGTCGGTTGTTTAAAATGGAAAACCTAAGTCTAAGAGTTTCTAAAGTGGAGTTGGGAATTACACTTAAACCTGGTAGAGATGGAACTATGGAATGTTCCAATGGACTTGAATAAACAGGTGAAGTCAGTGTTCTGGCTTTCAACATCTCTCAGCTGGAACTATTCAGAATGGGGGTGGGATTTAGGATTTCTGCTTAACCGTGAATTGCCTCCAAAATCAACTCTTATAGAAATACCGTATTTAAAACGATTTTTTTTGTCTTTTTCATTTTTATCAGTACTGGGGATCGAACTCACGACCGCCTGCTTGCAAGGCAGGCGCTTATGCCACTGAGCTAAATCCCCAGCCTCTTAAAATGATTTTTAAAGACTGCTTTGCACTTTTTTTATGGGACCCTGTGCAGGGCACGAGTCAGTGTACTGGACTTGCAGTTCTTTGCTTTCCAAACAAATGCTATTTCCTTTGACTTCTGTGTCATTTTTTTAAAAGTTAACACTGTAAAGTCAGATCTAAAAATCAAGAAATGTCCACCTCCTGTGTATTAATGGGAGTGAAATTGGAACCCAGAAAGAGGCAGAGAGAATGGAAGACTCAATTACCTTCTAGCTGGGTGGTAATCAGAGCCCCCAACTTTGATACTTAATAGATGCTTTTCCCACTGGCTCCTTGCAGGGCGAGTGCAGTCTATCTTGTCTCCCTCTAGGTAATAAGGAACTAGTTCAGCAATTTCTTTCTCTCTCACCTCATAGGCAAGTCTTAGTGGGGCTTAGCTCTGAGCCGCAGGAGTAGGAGATCTGATAATTCACCTTCCCCAGGGAGGTCCCTGAATGGAGCCCCCTGCTCAAGCAGTCAGGGGAGATTTTCAAGATGAATGAGGGCCTCCCCAGAGTATTGCTGGGGAGCTCCTAACAGGACTGGGGACAGAGATTTAAATATGAATTACCATCCTGAGCAGGGAGAGATTTGCAGGATGAAGCCTTTCTGCGCAGGGGAAGATTTGCACAGTTGCGGTCATATCATCAGCATTAGGCTGTGGTGGTTGTCGCTGTGTGACACATTCAGGACTATTCCACACTGGGCTGGTTCATCTGTCATAGCTGATGAGCTCTCATTTCCTGATTTGCCTGCCTAATTCCTTTCTGTTGCTCCTCGGTCCCCACTGCCATTCCCAAATGGCAGATGAAGAGAGTCCCCTCTAACGTGGGTACCAAGGATTCCTGCTTAATCTTCTTCTCCATCCTTTTGGACTCTGATTTTCCAGCTTCTCCACTGGAATGCAGCCGTTGCCCTCCGCACTCACCCGTTTCCTGCCTCCTTCCCTCTTACAAAGGCAAGGCTATTGTCCACGCAAACATCCCACCAGAATCCCATGAGGGACAGTGTTAAAAATCAGAATCCTGGGCTCTATTCCTGAATCAGGATCTCTAGGTCTGGGGCTGAGAAATCAAATTTTCCAAGTAATTCTTTAGCATACTGACGTTTGGGAACTGAAACCCGGAACCCAGGGTGGGGCGGACTGGGCCTCCCTCTCCCAGCTGGCTTGGGGAGGGTATCATTTTCTCTTCATCTGGGACAGCGGCACCCTCCACAGCACTATGTAACCTTATGCAGGCCTTTGAGGCTCTTCTGAGGGAATGATCAAATAACTGGGCCCTTGTGGGGTGCAGAATGATCCTTAGCCTGGAGGCCTGAAAAGTGCCCTGGCTCATGCATATTCATGCTGGCCATGCGGTCAGTTTTAATCACTCAGATCCATTCAAGGTACTTTCTCTAAGCCTTTGTGAGAGCAGGAAACAGGTTCTGGGTGAAGGAGGTAGGGAAGAAGATTGAGGTTAAAATGAATTGACAGGCAATAGGATTAGAACCTCCTCAATTCTGATCTTGCAAGTAACTAACAGTGGCCTGAAATTAAAGAATTAAGCCATGAAGGCTTCTTTGACAACTGATCTGATAGACCCAGAAATAAATTTCAGGGACAGTGTTGTCAGGCAGAGGCAGCAGACAGCTAAGATAAGGGGCCTTGGGAGGTATGGAGGGGGGGGGGTGAATCCTGATCTGTCTTTACAATGCAGAGAGAAAAGCTTTGGTCTCTCATTTCAGATGCTGGGGGCAAGTCGGTTTCCAGGGCTTCTATTCATCTTTGGTAGCCCTTTCTTCCTTACATCCAATTATGACTTTAAGATGGAGGCCAAATTGAAATGGGGAGGAAGATAATGAAACATAAGTCAAAAATGGCAGCTGGTGAATTTCTAATAATTGTACTTTCCCCCGTTACATACTAGTGCTATTCCCTCATGTTGTGTAGTAGCCTGTGTGTGTGTGTGTGTGTGTGGTGGGGGACCCACTACCACCCCTAACAAAAACACAACTCCAAGGGATTGAGGGAAACAATGTCAAATGCAACTTAATGATATTTTTCCACGAGGGAGGGTAGGGATAAAGTAGCATTCTAAATTGGCTGCTCTTTCTTATCTTTAACATCTTAAGAAAGCCTAGAAAAATTAATCCAAAGGTAAGTAAATCGCCACTTGATTCTCTTTCAAAATTTTTCTTGTCTCCATACCTAAAACAAGCATTAAAAAGGAAAAGGGATATTTATAGTACTGTGTGCTCAAGATGAATTCTTTTCATATAGTACGGAAAAAGACAAATTCATAACCATGTGGGTCATTCATGTGATAATTGGGTATGGGGGAAATCAGTGTTCATCTACAATAGGTTCTCTGGATCTCAGTTCAGGGAAGCTTTTTTCCAACTGGACATTCTCCAGGTTAATATAATGGGGGCTCATTAACTCTTGAAGAAAATTTTCAGAACAAATAATCTGAAATTTGACAATCTGACTAGGAGACTGCATGGTGATGCTTGATAGGATTATTTCAAAAAGACATTATTTCCAAAAGATATGAAACAAAAGAGGCTTTTATTCTGAGAGATATAACCGACAACCCCGGGCTGCTGGAGTCCAGCGATCTCTCCAGCGGACACGTGGCTTGGTGGGGGGGGGGGTATATAAGTAGCCTAAGCTTAGGGTAGTGCCCTAGGGCCATTAGAGATGCACAGGTATTTCATTGGCACACATTTGGCGCCAGGGGTAGATTCCTAACTGGGGGGGGGGGGGATAGACGTAGGAGCTCCCTGGTTCCGGCTGAGGCTTTTTCTGGCTACAGTGTCTGGTCTGGGCCAAAACCCTTTCAATGCTCTTGGAGCTGAACTGTGAGCAAAGTCTAATTCTGATGTCTAGCTTATGTTTCCCTCTCCTTCTACTAGAACTCAGGATCCAAGTGGGAGTCTCAGCAAGCCTTGTTTCCGCTATTCTTTATGTAGAAGCCACTAGGATTGGAGTCAGGGGCTCACTGTTAACTGTGGAAGGTCTGCTCACTTCCAGGTACAACCTGCAGTATCCTTTGACTTTTGTCTAAATGGGAGCCATACTTTGCAGGGTCTATGTTAAGTTACAGTGAAGAAAAATAGTTAGTTACGATTGACTAGAGGAACAAATTTAATATATGTATGGTTATAAAACAGATCTACTAGGTAGGCTTATAGGGTCAGAAATCGAAGAGTCTTAGTGGCTGTCTGCCAGACTAGACCTAAAAGAATAAAAACTGGCTATCTGCACTTTGGGGGGGATGAAGGATCCAGGCAAAGGTCAAAGATCTAGAGATCACTTCCGTCTGGTGCAAGTCTGCGTCAGAGAGCCAAAGAGTCCACACTGGATCTACACTGGAACCCTGAAAGAACTGGAGGTAAACGTCCAAATGCTATGCCAAGATCGATATTTCTCAAAATAAAAGGGCAGATCTTTATTCTTTCTCTTTTGTTTTATTGACCAGACTACAAGCTTATGCCATTTCCAGGATGGGTCTTCCCTCCTTAGTTTGTGGCCTAAAAGTCAGTCTTCTGCAGACTCACTCAGAGCTCTGCTAATTGGCTAGATGGTTCTTTCAGAAGTCAGGTTGACACATCACAATTAACAGTCATAGTCACCGAGGCAGGAAAGAAAGGTCCTGGGCTTTGCCGTTCCATGATATCCCTGGAGACATTATTCTTTCTCCACCAGCTTCATGCTGTATCAGAGTCCTACTTTTGTGCTGGTATTTTATGTGTTGCTTAAAACTACTAGTTACTATGTATAAGATGTTCAATGCTTACAATCTCTACTTTCAAAATAAAACATTTCTTTAGATTATGTTTTGGCCTACATGGCCCCATACCTCCCAAGGCCCCTACATGTGAGCCATGATTCCAAGAAAGCTTTAAATGGGACTTTATACACTAAAAGCACTGAGTCCAGTAAGCACTGACTCCATGAAAGGAAGTCCAGGTAGGATGGGGGTGCTTTTTTGGCAGGCAATATCTTGAAGCTGCTTAGAAGCATCAGAATCGTTTTTCCAGTTGGTTTGTACTTTTCTATTGAGTTGCTGTTTGACCATCTGTCTCTGTGCCCTGTTATGGCTCACAAGTTCTTGGTCCTCTTTCCAAAGACCCCTCTTCCCACCCTGCTCTGTGCATGGCAAGGTCTAGGCAGCAGTACGGCAATAAATATCTATGAACTGGATCTCTCTCTCTCTCTCTCTCTCTCTCTCTCTCTCTCTCTCTCTCTCTCTGAATGGCTTATAGCATTTCTAATGGGTAACATGTCCATGAGAAGCATTTTCCATGGTGTAAATTCTCCCATGATGACTAGTTTTAAACCCTTACCATGAAGTCACTAAATGTAGAGTTGGAAGATGAGCTATAGAACACCACTGTTTTTAGCATGTTCATCCTACAGATCTGATAAATACAAATAACCTCAGGACCACAGAAAACAAAGAATGGTAAAATGATTAGGAAGTGATGAGTTTTGAGTATTTATTATCTTTGCATTAAATATAATTTAATTGTAAATTTATATCATTAAATTTGTAACAATGGCTGTACATAATTAACTTGCAAAACTCCTAAAAATTTAACAACCACAATACAAGCCAGTTCTAATACACTTCTGGGTTTTGGACTGGAATAAAAGGGAAAAAAAGAGAAATAAAAGGGCACATTTAGTACTAAACACTAAAAGGCTTTTATGCCATTCAGACTTTATGTCTGAGTTCTTCAAAAATTTGGGTCAATAAATTCATAGAAATGGCATGATTGATATTGGCATAAGACTGAAACTTGGAGCCAGTTCTGCTATTTGCTAATTGAGTGACTTTAACCAAGTTACCTAGCCCCTTTTGGCTTATTTCTCACGTAGATGTTTTTCACCTGTAACATAGTACCTGCTTCATAAGTTTCTGATGGGGTGACACAAGATAATACATTCAAAGTTGCTCGCTCTCTGTGTCATATAATAAACTGTTAGTCAATGGCAGTCATGAATACCATCATGATTCTTATCCTAATCCATTTCTAAATGTCTGCAGTAACCACAGGTAGGGATGGAGTCTATACCAAGTGCAAATCCAGGTGGGTACAGATTAATAAAGACAATCCTCATTGTACCTCAGTTTACTATCAACCTCTGTTTACTATCACCCATTCATGTGGGTTCAGCCTCAAGGGGAAGGCACCAGCACCTTGCTGCAGCCCCTGGGGAAATAGTTCTTACAGAGGCTGAAGTTCAAATGTGGGCAACTCATCTCTCACTGGTGGGTGCTGTCTCTCCAGGCCTTCTTTTAAAATGCAAATATTCCTTAGAAGTTGATGTTAAATCTAGCACCTTGATTGAATAGTGAATGAAACTAATCGGATCCCAGGGATCTGTGAGGGATTCTGGGGAATCTAAGAATGCCAGGTTGAGGAAGAGAGAGAAAAGACTTGTGGACACTGATGACTCCAAGTGCTTGTTCTTGTCTCCTCTCTGGGCCAATCCTGCTCCAGGTTGACCAGATGTCTTTAAAAGCAAATCCACTTATCTTTTTCTCCCTACTTCCCAACCAAGAGTAAACACCCAGTTAATTCTCAGGTCCAAAGTCCACTAATGAGGTTGACTGTGACTATTTCCATCAGTCTTCCTGTTTTGAGAAAACTGAGTTTGCAATTGGTTGATTTGAGTTCATGGTTGAACCATTTGATGTGTAACCTCAAGAAGCTCATGCCATGCCTGTGAACCTCTGTTTGTTTTTCTTTTAGTACATTGAGGTTATTGATGAGGATTAATCTGAGACTCAAATGAGGGACATTTAGGAGTCATAAAGCTTTTTCTGTGTCTCTCTGTCTCTCGTTACCATTTTCTATTCCTGATTCATTGTTGTTTAATTTTTCTTTTTTAATCCCTCACATGTGGATGTGGAGCAAAAGATTTCCTAGGGAACACCCCTACAGATAGGCAAAAACACGCTTCCTCATCTTTATTCCACAGATGTCTAGGAAGTAGCATAGAAGGTCCTATCCATGATCACATTCAGAATACGACATTGCATGCAACAATAACCTCAAGTTATTCCCACGTTGGTTCAGGTCACTTGGCACAAGAAGGCAAAGGCAATGTCTGCAGGACACCTAAGGCCCTGTGAACGTTAATTATATTCTTCTTGAGGTTTTATCTGGCTCATCTTGATATTTTATAAATATTTTTAAAACAATTGAGCATGAGAAGACAGTAGATGAGCTGTGGCTCCCAGAGGTTACCAGGGTTATAGCTGAGAGGATTGTAGAGAATTGTGGGAAAAGGCCTCAGGATTAAGCAAGAAGCCAGGCAGATGGTCTTTCCTAACACAGCCCTGGGTGGCTCCTGGGTCACTACTGAGGTTGGAGGTGGGTAGCTAGTGTACGGGGCAGCATGTGTGATAGCAAGCTGGGTGCAGTCCTTGTCTTGAGACTGGAGAGCCTGACTTTTACTTCAATTATGAGTGATGTTTGTTGTCCCTTTACAGGAGTCTGACAGGATAAAGTCCCTGTCCCAGTGATTACTGAGTGAATCAAAGAGACTGGGTGAATCAAAGACATCTATTCATTGGGACCTCTTTTCTGGTGCGTTGGTGTGTGTTGACAGCAAAAGTGGCTGCAGAATCACCGACTTGTTGGGGAAAGAGTGCTGTTTTTCAGGAAAAATTATTTAAGATGAGAAAAGATTGCTGACAGCCGAGCAGGGCAGTCTGCTGGATAGCACTGAGGACTCACTGCTGTGACCCAGTTAACGGGGCTGAGATAAAGGGTACCTAAAGGACCACTCCGCCCAGGAGAGCACAGTGTTGCATATGGGTGTGACGCTTACATGCTAGATGGGCCACCAAGCAGCTTAGAAGGCAAGGACAGGAAAGGGAAGGGAAGAGAAGAGAAGCCCCTGAGTGTGAATGGGGCGGCCGGCCCTCCCTGTCCAGGGTCATTGGTGTGACCCCATATGTTCTTGTTGTTTAATCCCAGTTATGCTCCTGCTCTAGCAAGTATCAAGAATGAAGCAGGTCCTTTGCTTGGTATAAGAAGACTCTTGGGAGGACAAATGGATTCCATAATTTGGAGGGAGTGACCTCGAGGTGAGGTCAAATTTATTTATTTTTCTGCCCCTACATCTTGCCCACCCTTTTCTGTCACTTGCTCAAGAGAGAGCAAAGCAATTTTCAAAAAAATACCAGGAACTTGAAGACTTTGATTCTAGAATAGAATGCGACTAGCCAGGCAGGAAGCAAGGCCACCAGGGCCTGACAAAGGATGGTTTCAGTGTATGGCTGCTCCGCAGCCCAGATAGCTATTGTCACTTGTCTGCTGAAGAGACACTGTCCCCTTGTGTCCCTGTAGCTTGGCTTCAAACCCTGAGGCTCCTGAGATGTCAGGTGTGCCTGGCTGGTCTGAAACATGAACTGTCACAGAGCCAGTCAGCTGCCATCCCCGAAACTATTGTCTTCTCACAGGGCTGATTTAGCTCTCTCTGAAATTGATGGGAAGAAGAAGGAAGAAGCTATTAGGCTGCTAAATCACCTTTCAGCTTGGGTGTCTGCTTATGATGATGGTGGCTTTTATTTCTCTGGGAAGCAGTGGAGAAAGGAATTGGGGGGTGGGGGTGGGAAATAACTATTCTGATTAAATCATCGAAACATTCTACAAAACTACACCAACAAAGCAGGACAGACATCACAACAAGATCTTGAATCAGGATGTTTACATAACATAATGCCCATGGCAGACAAATACTAAACACAACAAAATACCCGAGACCAAAAAATAAAAAAAAAAAAATAAGAAATGTAAATAAATGATGGAGAAAAAGAAGAAAATCAAAAGGAGTCTGGTGTCCAGACATCTGGAGGCCAAAGATGCATTGTCGGAGTCTCTTGGTGGCTGTGTGTGAATGTCCAGTGGCTCCTGGCCTCACATTTCAGCTTCCGTGGAATGGACCTCTGTCGCAGTGATGGCAATTCCTATGGCGAGGCTGCCATTGTCAGAGAAGAGCTGAGCCAGAGAGGTGTTGAGGACGAGGCAGTCCCCGTCAGTGATGACTGAGTCCACACTTTCGAGGACAGACCTTGGGGTGGCCTCCCATTTGAGACGACGATGGTTTCTGTTGAGCTCCAGACGATAGGTGAAGCAGTCAGCTTGGGTAGGGGTCCCGATCAACATCATGGTGGCAAAGAACTGGGGATGGCCTTCATGCCTCTCCTGCTTCCTAAGCACCAGCAGAAAGTGGTGGCCGAGGCAGGAGTGCATGATGATCCAGTCGGCTGGTGCAGGCAGGTGCATGTCCGTGGCCAGGAAGACGATCTCTGCTCCTTGGAGGATGTCAACCCTGTGGATCTGCCGCAAGTGGGGCACCACCACCTCCAGGTGGCCTTCCCACTGGCAGGAGAACAAGGGGCACATGCAGGGCGTCACCTGGGTGGCATGCAGCCCTGCCTCCTGGTGGTGGAGGAGGTGCGGTCGGGCATGGTGCCGCAGGTGGTGGTGGTGGTGGTGGTGGCGGTGGTGGGGGAGATGGTGAGGGTGGAAGCTGCCTTGCTCCGCAGTGCTCTGAGTGATGGCCCGTCTACTGGACACATACTAGAAGAGAAGAGCAGAGCATTAGTGGGACGTAAGGCCCATCTCTTTCCCCGCCTGCAGCCTGCGTGGTGTCCCAAGTGTTAAAGGCAGGCAGGCTGTCCAGTGCGGAGAATATTTCATATTTTGATAAAAAGCGAGGAATATGGTGGGAGGTGAGGGCTGAGATTCTGAAAAATCAGTCCAAGAAAATACAATATTCATGTCTTTCTGATTCTTTAAAAAGCCACTTAAGCAAATAGGTGATTTTCTCTCTCAAATAACATGCACCGTTATGGCCATCAGAACAACAAGAACAACAACAACCACAAATCTTTACATTTGCTTTTTTGACATTGTTGATATTTCTGTGCAGACAGTGGTGGTCAACAGGTTTTAAAAATTCTATTATTGTTATTTTTAGTACAAAATTTCTGTGGTAGCTGTTTGAGCTCCAGTGCTGCAGGAACCATGATTTTTGGGTCCCCTTTTCCCCCAGTCCTCAGGCCATTGTGAGACAGAGCCCATTGTGTGTATTTGGAGCATAGTGGCAATTAGGGAACCCCATCTGGGACTCCTGAGACTGGCCCACCACTACACACTTTTGTCATGTTCCAGGCTCTCTGCTCCAGAGCAGCTTCCCAAGGGCTCACCTGGAGGTACTCTCTGCCATGATAATCGCCTGACCTTTTGTTCCTCATGGCAGTGTGCCCACAAATCCCCTCAACAGCACTGGGATCGGTGATGGCACCTCCTGATCAGGTGCCATGCTGATCAGGAGGTCCCGAGTACCTGCTGTGACCAGCACCTGCAAGTATCAGGGATAGAGCTATGAGCAAGAGCGACGTGGAGTCTCTTGGTGTGGCTGGAAAGGCATTGATACACTTGCAATTAATTACAGCCTGGCAAGGGTCCTCTGTGTGCCATGAGAACTATGATTCATATTTTTTAGCTGAAGGAACAGGCTTCAGGAGTAGCATGCTTGAGGTTACAGAACTGGAAAGGGATGGACTAGATTCATCTTCACATCTCATGACTCTCAATATAGGGACACCCCCCTACCCCCACTCTCAGTCACGCCTGCTTTCAGTTCCTGCCCTTTCCTCTCCTGAGTATTTCTTGCTTTTAATTAGCCTGCAGGATCTGGGTCTTGCAGAGGATGTGGCAGCTCTGCAGAGCACTCCTGGCATGAAGCCCTCACCTGGTAGCGATTTCCTAAGCTACCCTTAGGTAGAGATTGTCCCTTCTGCCCTAGTTCTCCAAATATGTCCTGGACCTCAAGTGTCTTTGGCATCTGCCCCTTCACCTTGATTCTGTTCACTCCCACAATACAGAGTGTGAGGTGAAAATCTAACTTTTATACTCACCACTGTGGCTGCCAGAGTTTTTCTCTCTTGTGGCTAACCAGGAAGTCCTGTCTGGCTTCCCTATCTTTAGGGCTTATACAAACATATACATGTACTCACACATGTGCACACTATGTAGTCATGCATGTGTGCTCATGCACAGATACACAACAGATACAAATATGTATGCATATAAAAACACACAGGTGTCTATGTGTTTATATATCATGCATACAGGCACCACATAGACAGCATACATTCATGCATTCATGACACGCTTGTACATTAGCATGTGCGCATGCACACAGTGTACTGAGATGACCACCTGGCCGTGGAGATGGCCTAGATGCAGGTGGGCATCAGATGAGTACTGTTCTTGAGTTGTTAGCTACAACTTCCAGTATGTGTTCCCCCCCGAGGAGTGTGAGCAGCAGGATCCTTCTGCTGTCACCTCTCCTACACCTCCACCAGGCCCCAGAACCGCAAGGGTGACAGTGTGTCTTCAGCTATGATGCAACAGGCTGGGTTCTAAAACCTGTTAGTGTTCGTCTGACTTCCCTTTTGTGCTAAATATGGGGGAAGGAGCTAGCTATATGTAGCATCTACTTATGATAGACACTGTGTAAAGTAGGTGTATTTTGATAATTGTTTCACTTACCTTTTGCAGCAAAGATTAATTTATTATATTTTAAAAAATAAGTCTTGTTTAGCCACCACTGGCCAGATGGGGATGTATGCCATGATTTCACTGGGCATTCTTCACCCAGATGCTGGGGTGAAGAAGCTCAGGGCTCACACACTTCTTCAGCCAGGCTCAAGGGCCCTCCACTGTGCTCTCCAGAGCCTGCAGTTTCCCTGCTCTTCCGTGATCAAGAGCACCTAGTCTTGTGTTGCCATGGAAAACCCCAAATGCTGTCCCCTTCTACTCTCTGTCCTCACACCGTCTTTACAATGACTGCAAGAGAAACATATTGTGCTTGCCTTATAGATGAAGCAACTGAGACATAGACAGGCAGAGTCACTTGCCCCAAATCACACAACTCATAAAGGGATGAGGTTGGGGATGGAGCCCAGATCAGTAAAAGGTGTCAGAGAGCCCAGACTGGGAAAATCAGTGTCAAGAATGTCAAGAGATTCTTGTTTGTTTCCCTCTTTACTTGCCGAGCAACCTTGATTAAAGCAGTTTTCTTAGTGGCAAAATATTTAGGTCAAAAGGTTGTTAGCAGATTGTATGAAATAAAGCAGCAAAATGACATTACAAATAAAAAGTGATATACCAAGGCAACCTTTCCATTTTGGTGCAGTTTTTGGGGAAGATTTGGGGGCCTTTTAGCCTTGGAGGATGCCTGCTTCTCCACATTCCAGTCAAATGACCATTTACACACAGGCAGTTTCCTGGCTGAACGCAGGCCACTGTGAAATCCTGGAGAACTAGACCTTGCCGAGAGCCGAGCCTGGAGCCTCCTGACTCAACACTGATCCCAGATGAGACAGTGGCCTGAAATCCCACTTCGCGTGGTGTCAGGGTAAGTCGGCCTCCGAGGCCCTTCTCCAGGCCATTCCCCACCTTCTCTGTTCAGATCTGCGTAGCTAACATTGGGACATCACAGCAGGGAGGAAATGGGAGGAGATACTTTGGGGTCCTGTCTCTTCTCTCCAGTCTTGCCAGTGTCTTTCATGGGTAACCCACCCAAGAAGCCTGCCAGCAAGAGGAGCCAGGGCATGTACTTAGCAAGGGTTGGCTTCCTTTGGAAGTGGTAATGGGAGAAGCGGACAGGTGAAGATGAGATGGCCAGCCGCACGTAAATGTCTGTTTCCTTCCATGTGAAGCTGCTGGTCTGAAAGGAGTGGGCCTCCTAGGCTGGGCTTCGATGGGGCTTCCAAGTGAGGGAAGGGAGAGATGCATCCACAGCTTGAACCATTTGTTCAACAAGTGCAAGGGGTTGAGAATAGAGAAGAGGATCCTTGTTCCTGTTGCACGAGCTCCCTAGTATTGTGTATATTATAATACAATGCAAAGTGCTGTATAGTGGACCCTTTCTACATCCATGACTTCAACCAACCACAGATTAAAAATATTTGAAAAAAATGAATCTGTACTAAAAGTGTATGACATTTTCTTCTTGTCATTCTACCTGAAACAGTATATAATCTAATAACAAATTATATAATTCACACCATATTAGTTATCATACATAATTTAGAGATGATTTAATGTATTTTGGAGGATGTTTGTGGGTTTTATGCAAATCCTAGGGCATTTTATACACAGGATTTGAGGATTCAAGGATTTTAGAGTCTAGAGAGCACCACGAAACCCCCACACCCCCATACTAAAGGAAGACCTGAGCACAAGGGGCTCTAACAGTACAAAGTTGAGGGGTAGACACTGGGGCCAGTGTGAGGCGACACAGGTACACAGTAAAGCATGAAGAACGACCTCTCTGAGAAAACTGGCAGAAGACTTGCCAACTGGGAGAGCAGCAGTTTTGAGAGAGCCAGATAAGAAAGCACACAGGATGTTTAAGAAGTGACTAGAAGTTTCCAAAGGACGGGTACAGAGGGGAATCTGGTGGAAATGGAGAATAACTGGTCCACATTGCAGCACTGTCCATTAAGCTAACCTGAGGATGAGATGCCTCAGTGTAGAGGGCAGAGCAGCAGGAAGGTGCAAGACCTGTGCCCCTGTGGGCAGCACGATGCCCCCGGCTGCCAGCAGAGCCTGCCCCAAGTTGACATTCCGAACAAGGTCCAACTGTCCAACCAGTAATGGAGCACCCCACCTGGAGTCTTATATTTCTTCTTTGGCTTCATTATCTGTCATATTGTTAAAAAATTGCTACCCAGTTACAAAGGGATATAATCCAAAGAGACCAAAGCGAATGACTATGCAAATAGAGTGGGACATTATTAACTCATCATGACCTGCGTACTTGCTGCGCTGTGGGAGGAGGCACTAGGAATAAACAGAGCCCTAATTTTTCATTTTTTCCTGCTCCATCTTCTGATGCAAAATATGTTTCATTTAAATGATCCTTGGGCAAAGGAGGTCACAGGGCTGCTGGCAGGGAGAAGGATTTTTTTAATTGGTAAAATGCTAATCGTTTTTGGAAAATGAATTCTAATCTTGCCATCTAATAGTGTGGATGTGTGAGTAATTACTTTCCTTCATTAAACTGTTAATGCAACATTAGTGATTACACTAATTAAAACTAATGAACTCTTACTGACTGATAAACCCCTCAGTCAGTCAGCAAATGCTTTCTTTCTATTGGCTGTATTTAACTTCCCATTTGGAAAAAAGATTTTGAATTAACCTTTAGAATAATGTGCAAAATTGGGTTTAGAAATGTTAGGCTTTATAGACTGAGTATAGTTTTTTTCTCCAAGCATTGGTGAGGCCACTTCCACTGAGGGTGTAATTGAATTTGAAAACACATTTCTTAATTTGATCAGCCACACTCCCTTGGTTGGTAATGGCCATCCCTCTGAATCCTGGCTTCTGAAGGGGAAACGTATCCCTGGAAATCCACATGACCTTCTCTCTAGCTCTGCTCCCCATGGTCAGCAAGATCACTTAGAGAATTGCTTTTCCTATCCACTTGCCTCCAGGAACATAGCCATGCTAATGCATTTCACTGGAAAGAGGACTTTGCACCTAATTTTAAATGACAGGCT